ACACACACACACACACACACACACACACACACACACACACACACACACACACAGACCAACCCCTTTCTATTAAGGCACTGAAAAGGGAGTCTGAGGCTCTTATCAATACTGTCAGATCATCTGCAAACAAAATGGTTGTTGGACGTATCCATCGGATTCCATCCTGTTAATAAATTTGCTGCGCCCCAAAACGACTACATGCCAGATATCCCTGCTTAGGATGATGATATACTACATATAGTCTAAGCTTTTGTCTGGGGCTACTAGGCACTGGATTTAAGATCTTTTCTAAGGAAAGAGTTTATTGCTTCCATAATGAACAGGAAGATTGGTGCTGCCAATGGGTCCCCTTGTCTGACCGAGCTAGACATTTTGCATGTTCTTGAGAGATGGCCATTGACTTGGACTCGACAGTTTGCATTGTTGTATAGAACCCGAACCCATTTTCTGAAGTTAGGACCAACCCCCATTTTTTTCATGCAGCACGCTGCAATTGACTTGGTCAGAAGCTTTCTCAAGTCAGAGGAAAACATTGCCACATTTTTTCCCATATTGAAGTGGGCCCAGTGGAATGGGCTCGTACACTGAAGTTGGGCCCCTGGAATGTAGAAAAGAGGATTAGCCTGCTGGAATACAGGTATAAGCGTCTTGTGCGTTGGAGGTCTGCAGATGCCCGAAGACGAAGTGGGCAAGTACGAGGAGGATAGCGGCCATAGCCGCCAGCTAGCTAGGAGGAAGACGACGGCGGCCATAGCCGCCAACTTGTTGATGACAACCAGATAGTGTCCAGTTATACTCTGAGAATGAGATCTTACCCGCTAGTTCAAATCAGTCAGCATTGGGCCGCCCATCATATCACAAGCCCAGATATACTCTGGAGTCTGGAAACAGATCCTAGAACAGCATTTTTGTCAAAATGGACTCTTTTTTTTTTTTGAAAAAGATTGAAATCAACTAAACTGGCCCGATTTAGGTCAATTTTTTTTGCTCTTGAGGGTCCGGCATTCTTAAAATGCTGGAACTTCTGGAGGTATCTGGACGTAGCTGCAGTCCAAGGTGTCCAGCGTTTTAAGAACATCTGACCCCCTGGATGTATCTGGACTTAGAGGGAGTTTGGGGGTATGCCGTTTTAAACCACCAGTACTTCCTAAAGTCTTGCCCGTTAATGAGCCACGATTTTAGGAAACATATGGGCCACTACAGGAGCACCCAAATTCATCCGACTAGAAACGTCTCTACTCTATTTTTTCCCCATGGCCGATAGCTGGGCGAAGTACTGGTGGTTTAAGAATGTCGGACCCTCAGGAGCAAAAATTTCGACCTAAATCGGGCCAGTTTAGCCGGTTTCAATTTCGTTCAAAAAATAAAAAATGTCCATCTGGAGATTCTTGATGAAATCGCTGTTCTCGCAATGGGGCCGGCTAGGATTAGGAGCTTACAATGGCTCCTCACCTATCTTGCCCGTTGGTAATTAAAAAAAAAAAAAAAAAAAAAAAAAAAAAAAAAAAAAAAAAAAGGAGCTTACAATGGCTCCTCACCTATCTTGCCATACCAGTCAACCAATGGCTCAACGAACACAGGAGCACTGAAACAAACTCTCCTTTGAAAGAACTATGTGCAATCTGCCCAGGGCGTCTAGTAGAGGATGTAGAACACCGCTTGTTGACTTGCCAAAATAGAAAAATATGCCCAGCTGATCTGCCTTATCTGGCCGAGCTTTGCCCTAAACCGCCAGTACACGCCCCCGCCTTGCTGAAAAGAAAACTGGTCGCCTACAAAATTTTTGGAGGCCCACGCCGTAGATAAATCGAATCGGCAGCGGACGGCCTCCGGGCCCGCGGCCAATACTGGTGGTCTAAGACCCCCTGGCCACCCTACTAGGAATATGTAGGACCTTGGGAGTAGGGATGCGCCGGGGACAGTAATTCTGAGTAAGGGCGGGAGGGAGTCACATAGGGGGCCTGTATAGAAAATGATCTGGATGATCAAATGGCCAACTGCTGAAGGGACTGCCATATGCCTGGTGGCTAGCCTCTACAACAACCTGGGCTTTCTTTTAAAAAAAAAGAAAAGAAAAAGGAATTAATGTTCCGATGACCTGACTGGCATAGGAGAGGAACTTCTTGCATAATCTAAGATTGGTGACCCTCTGGATGATATTAAGAAACGCAGATGCCAAGAGGGTCGAGTACAACCATTTCCCGCTGGATGAAGCGCCTAGCGCTCACCTGCGCTGTGGACCAGCCGGCGAGGCCAGGCTGCACTCCGTAGACTGGGGCAGTGGCGACGGTCGCCATAGCTGCTCTTGGCTATCCTAGTGCCCGTCTGGTCGTTTTGCCCAGAGGACGGTGGAAGTTCCACCTGGCACATCAGGCGACGACACGTGGGTGTATGGGGTTTTCTCCGTTGATGTGACAGCGCGTTCTTCAATGGGGGAGATGGCTCCAATAACTGAATCACAGCAGGGTGCGGACAAGTGGCTGCTGACCATTCAGGAGGGTTGCGCTCGCTTGCGAAGCATCATGGACGCTTTGTTCATGAGGGGAGGGGATTGGCTTGAGGTCGAAGAGGGGGCGGCCGCGGATCAGGAGAACACGATGCAGAGTATGTTAGACATCATCTGGGAGCTGGAGGAGGGGCCGGCTCCTCAGCTGGATGAGTTCATCGACTGGCGGCAAGCGGAGACTCTGATGCAGCGTTGCTACGACATCTTCAAGGAAGGGCGGGATCTGTTTGAGGCTTTGGTGGAGAGGGTGCTGACGCAATTTAATGTGTGCGCTCGAGTCGGGAGATCGACAACCGCCACTTGAGGAAGGCTATATGACAGAGGCGCAGGCAGCTAAAAGGCAACAGCGGCAACAACGACAACAGCAATAACTACTACAACAACAGCAGCAACATCAACCACCACAAAATCAACATCAACAACGACGACAGCTACAGTAACAACGGCAGCTATAATAACGGCTGCACTATTGCTGATGACAAGCGCTATCATATCCATTACAACTCGAACAATGGCGCCGGCAGCGGCAACGACAACAGCGGCAACAATAACATCAACAACAACAACAACAACAACATCAGCAGCAGCAACATCAGCAGCAGCATGGATGCTGGTGGCTGTGGCAACAACCTGCTTACAGCGGGAGAGAATAAGGGGTCTGATGCCAACAACAATAACAACAGTAACAACAGCAGCAACATCAAGATCAACAACATCAGCACAGTGAGAGAGGGTGAGGGGTTTGATGAGGATGGTGGGTTGGGCTTGAAGTTGAATGTGAGTTCTACTATCCCCCCCCCCCTTCTCTGTGGATTCTCTCCCTATTGATCGGATCCTCGTTGTTTTGCACCGGGTGGGAGTGGGTTAGACTACGTCCCTTTCATTGATTAGGGGTTGTCCGGCCCTCAATCCATAATAATGACGTGGTGTAGATCGTCCCCCAGGTGGAAGGTCGGTTGCTTAGGGTTTCGTGGGTTGATTAGGGTCGTTTTCCGGGGTGCTGGAAGGAAACTGCTTTTTCGTTAGGTTTTTGGCTACGCGGGCAGGAGGTCAATCCTTCCCTCGTTCTGGGAAGTAATCAATGCCGCCTGCTCCATAGGGGGACATGGCAAATGTGGTGGAAAGGGGCTTGAGCTCCATACGGCATATACAGATATTCAGAAGTTACAATCACACTCACACAGTACTGGATACACAGCACAACATCATCACACATCATTGTACAGGGACACCGGACCCAATTTCCAGCAGACACACACCATGTACAGGGACGCTGGACCCGATTTCCATCACGTATAGCTCCCCACGAATAGATGGAGCCTTCATGCTGGGACCCACTTAACGGGCTGCTCTTATCTCCTTGTTAAGTGGGTTTTCCCACATGTGAAGTTTGCTTTAAAAAAAAAAGGAAAAAAAAATAGAAAAAGGAAAAACACAGATGCCAAGAGAGTTGTAAGACATTGGGACATGGTCATAATGTACTGGACGGATGAAATGTGGGTGGCAGCAACCACTGAAGAGTATATGACCCCAGCACGGCGACTAGGAAACTCTAGAAATAGACTCATTATATGAAAACGCATGTTACATGCACATTGTATGTACAGACTTCGGAATGGTTTCAGAAGGGTGAATGGTGAATGGGAAAGACATGAGGTAGCATCATATGTTCAGATATCTTGTGTTGGAAGATGGATATAGTTGTGCATATAGGGCGATGGTGCATGTGCAGGCTGCTAGACGAACACATGAACTTCGAAATGAACTTCGAAAAGGTGTATAGGTAGGGCCGGGCGGGAGGGGGGGGGCAGGGGGCACGGGGGGGTAGCAAGAGAAGGGGTCATATATAGAGGAGGATGGATATTCGGACGGGGGGTGCGTGGCGGGGGAAGCGGCGACTGGGTACCAATGGGAGTCTCCCGACCGCTTACTACCGCGGTGGCTCGGCCTCTCTGTAGACGAAGTAGGATGGGACATGGACACTGTTCGTTGCTGCTCATTACTGTTTGTCTTGTATCACTATTGGTCTTGTATCATACTTGCCAGTGATAAGCAACCGGACTGGTGGCCCCCAGAATAGAAGGGGCTGTGTGTGTGTGTTGTAAAAAGAAAGAAGCCCTCAACCATAGCCCCTTGGCCTGCCCATAAGACTGGGCAGGAGTACTACAATTACCTGAAACAAAACACAGAGAACGCTGATCAAGAGTACGAGGACGGATTACGGGGATGTGAATAACAAGGAGAAAATCACAGCACAACTCACCAAAACTGGCTGGAAAACGAAAAAAAAATGGCAACAATCAAGAACGACACAATCCACTTTCGGTCTGGGCGATATCCACCTCTCAGAGAGACAGGAATTCCCAGAAGTATGACACAGATCACCAGTATCTCCATGGCTCAGCATCAACACTGAACCATAGCAGCCGGTATATGAGGGAGGGCAACTATCGACTTCCAGCTGCTAGAGATTGCCAAAGCTATCTAGAGTACACATTCAGTCTCGACAGAACGGACCCTCGAGGAACAGCCCAGTTTAGTAGAACAGACATACATCTCGCTATACACTTACACAGAGCACACAGAGCCTTCGGGCAGACACAAAAAGCCTGGCCCTATGGGCTCATACAAACATACATAGCCTCTGGGCACACACATATACACACAACTACGATACTGGGCTGGGGGGGTCTATCAGGTATATGACGCGGTCTACTCACGCATGGCTTAGCTCCAGGGTAGGTAGGGATATAAGTCGCTCTGGCTAGTCTGAGCTCTGGCTAGCCTTGGGTAAGCTAGGGGAAGGACGGTAGGATGTGTCCGCGGGCGCTGGCCTGCCTTGCTTAGGTAATCCTGCTGGGTAGACTCTCTGCATTGGGCCTGTAGAAGACTGCATGAGCCTGGCGTCCGAAGTTCCTGTACGGCAAGGTTCGTCCGCTTCCACTTCCACTAGGGCTGGGAGGTTGGCCCAGCCTTGGTGCTTGTCACTGCTGTCTGGTCCAAGTTGCCCTTGATACTGGTAGGGTGATGGTCCTGAGTGCTGGTCACACTGAGGTAGGATAGTAGGGACAGGGGGTGCGCTGGGAGTATTAACGTGGGGATGGGTAGGGTAGGTGGCCTATCCTGTCAAGACAACCATTGGCTGCTGCTACCAGCAATCACCGCGGGTCTGGTCCTTGGCCTCTACAACACACTGGGCTTTTCAAAAAAAAAAAAAAAAAAAAAAAAGTTAAAAACAGATTGGGCCTCCATCTTCCCTGACTAGGAGTACCCCGAAGTCCCTGCATGCCCTTCTGACCAGCAATGATAGCTCTAGGGTAGAGGCTGAAAGGATTTCAACCACCAGTACCTCCGAAACTCGTGGTGGAATACAAGCCGCGACAATCATGCACGAACGGGCCACTATGGGAGTGGCCAAATTCATCCGACTAGAAACGCTTCTACTCTATTTTTTCCCGCAGCCGATATATGGGAAAGGTACTGGTGGTTTGACAAACGATGGGACTTTCAGAAAGAGGTTTAGGTACACTATCAGACGAGGACAACAGGGGTGGAGCAGTGGTAAAATCTTCCTGACTTAGGGAGCAATCAATGCCGTTGTCTCCGGCTCTCTGACCATAATAGAGAGAACTGTTGGGTAAGTACTCCTGTTATCAGGAACACTCGGCCTGTTCTCCAGTTTTTAAATTTTAATACACTCCTTTGTTTTGGCCGTGAGGGGAAACAATAGAGGGGGGGGGGGGGGGGTCGGGAAGGGGAACGAAGTCTTTAAGGTAAGTCTTTTCTTGGCTTCACCTTCTGCCTCCAGATAATTCTCTCAGTTCTCACCACCTCAACAATCACCATCCTCGTTCTCTACCAACGGTGACACTATTATCCCTCTATTTGAACCAGGACCTCCAGCACTATATCGCTCTAGCACGATGAAGAACAACTCTCAGTCTGGTCAAATGCAGTGTTGACTTTCCCTCAAACCTCATTCGCTCATGATAAGCTATGGTCCCTGCACACCTCCTACTCTTAGACTAGCTATGGGTGAGTTCATTCTCGGTCGCTTTTTTTTTCTGTTCTGATGTCTGCCTTCCTCCGGCACTAGCACTCAAACAGCAGTCCAGCCTCCAGCAGCGCAAGGCAGAATGACTGAGCTGAAGCAGGCTGGTCTTCCATAGTATTGACTTGGCTGGGCCTGATTCCAGTTGCCTCCCAAGACGGCTTATCTTCCCCAATCTTGCGCATCCCAAATCTGGTGTGCCCAGCGAGTGCCTTGGCCCCGTAGGCTTTGGATGTGTGTATTTGTGGCTGTGGTTGACTTCTGTAGCCTTCGTTGACCCTTGGACTACTCTACCCAATAGGGACTGACTACTGACTTTTCTTAGGGCCTAGACTTAACTTCCGGAGGCTCTGGGTGCCTCATTTTTTAAACTTTGACCCCAACCTACTGACCTTGACTGCTGACTCCTTTTTTTTTTTTTTTTTTTTTTTGGATAGTGCTTCGATCTATAGTTTTGTTGCTCTTCGTGGCTTGAGTGACCTCCGTTTTTTCATTTTGATCTCATTTTTTTGGGAGGTAGCTTCAAGATAGTAACTCGATTTCGATTTTCAGATGATTGTAAATCCGAGTTTTGATTCTAATATCTGGTTTTCAAATCTAATTTTTGAATCTTTTGGATTTTTCTATTTTGGATTTCTCATGACAGGTAGCTTTAGCTTTAGGTTTTCAATTCGAATTTGACTGAAGACAGCGGGCTCATGAATGATTTCAAAATTTTCCAAGTAATTCTCGATTTGGTCTTTTCATGTTGATGACTATAAATCAGAGTTTCGCCTCTGATCTCGAATAATGTTTTCTAAACTTTTTAGATTCTCAATGAACTCGTGAAGAATAATCCACGAACCTGATTCAAGTCAGTGGGCTCATGAATGATCTCAAAATTTTCTGAAGAATTCTCAATTTGTTCTTTTCCTATTGACGATCGTAAATCAGAGCTTTGTCTATGATCTCGAATATTGATTTCTAACTTTTCAGATTTCCAATGGTCTCGTGAATTTGTTGACTCGCCTGAGAGCTGTATTCTTGTGTTTTGTTGTTGCACTGGTCGTTGTGATACACTCCTGCTTGGAGTGCCTTTTGGCTAAGAGAGCTTAGTAGTGGGAGGGAGGTGACGCTTCCTGCTGGCGAGGGGGTTAGTTGGTAGGATTGGAATAGGGCATAGCAGCAACGAAGATGGTGGCTCCGCTGTGATAAGTCTTGCTGGAGGGGGGTCAAGGGGAGTGTTCAGGTGGTTTGGGGGTGTTGAGCACGACCGATGCATGGAGGAAGCCGGGCATTTCGAAGCCTTAGTTGCCGCGGTGTGTTTAGCAGATTTTCCGACGGTGGGGCATCGCCATCATGTCTATAAGGTTAGGGTTGGCCGATGCCAGAACGAC